GGTAGGGGTAGTGGGAGGGGCAGGGGAAAGGAAAGAAGGGAAAGGTAAAATGCTAAGAAATGGAAAAAATGGAAATAAAGTCTTTGTAAATAGGGAAGGGTGGAGGGGGTGAAGGGAGGGCTTGGAATGGGGAATAAATAAGAACCAAGATGCATTATGTAAAGGTACAATTCCCAATGAGAAATGTAATTGTTTTGTATACCTAAAATGTACCTATAAAAGAATTAAACAAACAAACAAACATAAAACCTGAAGGTATAGAAATCAATTGGGCATGATATTATTTCAAGGATAAAGAACAAAACAAAATCAAGCTACACAAGTGTACCTGATTTATAACAAAGGTGCAACTAAAACGCTGTGAGAAATAGAAAATTTCTCATTGAATAACTGAGATTAGTTTGGTAAGTAAAGTAAAATTAAAAAGCTATTACAGAAAAATATACTTTCAGATTGGGAAAAATTTCTAAATAGAGTGTAAAAATATCTAACTATGAAAAAAGATTACACTTTACTAAATAAGGATCTTTGCTCAGGTCGGGGATTTGGCTCAGGGGTTCTGCTGCCTGCCTCGCAAGCGCAAGGTCCCGAGTTAGATCCCCAGTACCGCCCCCCCCCCAAAAAAAATCTTTGCTCACTCAAATGTGCCATTATAAATAAAGTGCAGAGACTAAGGTATTTGTATTGTGTATGTGATATAAAGGACGTATATGAAAAATGTCAAAAAGAAATTTCTACAAACCAGAAACCCAACAAGAAAAAGTACTAATTTCTCTAAACAGAAATCCAAACATAAAATCTTATGCACAATGACTAATTATCTGAGAAGCAAAAATTCAAACCTAAATGCAGTATAAGTATACAACCAAACAGAATGGAGAGGAAGAATATTTAATAACAAATGTTGCCAAAATGTAGAACAGAGATTTTTATACATAGCTAGTGGGAAACGGATAAAACCACTTTGAAACACTGGCATTATTCTACTAAAGCTGATCATATACACACCCTGGGACCAGTAATTTTATTAAAAGAAATGCATACATATCCATACCAAAAATATGTACCAAAAGTGTTGCCTGTTCTATTTTAAAAGCCAAAACCCAAAAATATCCAAATTTCTATTATTTGAACAATGAATTTAAAAATTATGGCATATTCATTCACAGAATGGAATACTATGTAACCATTTTAAAAAGGACAAAATTCTACTACATGGCAGTGAAAGAGAGCAAGCCATTGGTGCAATGTTTACCAGTGTCACAAAAATAATGTTAAAGGGAAAGAAACCAGCACAAAGAGAATGAATGATTTGATTCAAAACTTTTAAGAAGTCAATACTCTTGGGGATTTAGCTCAGTGGTTTGGCTGCCTGCTGTGCAAGCGCAAGGACACGAGTTCAATCCCCAGTACCAAAAAAAAAAAGTCAATACTAATCTGTAGTGATAAAATACTGGTTTTTTGTGGAGGGTAGTCTAGAAGTGTCAAGCAAATTTTCTGAGATTAAGGTTATGGCTTACACCTTGACCCAGGTGATAAACAGGTATATTCAATTTGTAAAAATGTATGCAACAGCAATTCAGGACTTCAATATTTTCCCGAGTATATGTTAAAGTTCAATATATGTTTACAAAAAAAATGGGTGTCACAGACACATGCATTAAATATGTAGTATTGGTTTCATCAGGACATATCATTATGTCAATGTTCACATGTACAGACCAAGAATAAGTATAAGGTTTAAGTACACAGTGGTCTTCTAAACATTACAACCACATTCTAAGAATATGGCTCAATTTTGCCAGTCCTGTAATGGTAACACAAACTAAGTGGAAATCTAAACATGCTGCAAATTTCAAATGACTCATTTAATATTAGACAATTTAAAATTGTTTAATATCAAGATTGGCAAGCAGAGACCTTATCTTGAAAGCAAAATTAGTGCATGTCTGCATGATAAAAATTTCCCAGAATCTCAATAATCTTTCAGTGTGTATCTTACTATTTATTTGGAATTCTTCCAATGGCCAGGGCGAAGGAATGAGTCACTGCCAAGTTCTCACTTTATTTTCTTGGACCAGCAGGGAAACGCCATACTTCTAAGTTTATTTAGTCAACCAGTATATTTTAAAAATATTCTATATGTACCATCCATTTGTGTTTAAATACTTTATGCTGCTAAGACTATTTAGAATAAGATTAACCCAACAACTTTATAAATATGAAATTACTGCAAAAACTATTATGAAGTTACTCAAGAGAAAATACTTTGTTGACCTTTCTAGAAACCTCATTGGAGTGTCAGTATATATGGAATGTTATGGCTTGCATCCAGTGTCCCCTCAGAGCCTCATGCACGCATAGGTGGGGTTTTTGGAGTTGGCTGGATCTACAGTGCGTGAATATGGATTAAGGGTGTGTGATAAATAGATTAGTCTGCGATTGTTTGAGCACTGTTTTGGGTATGGGTGAAGGGAAGTCCCACTCTGAGTGTGAGAGGCACCAAGTTTACTGAACAAAGAGCACACATCTTATTTAGAAAATCATGTTTGCAGTAAAACTCTAAAAAGAATTCAGTGTAAAGATTGCTGTAATATTCTGATAATCAAGGAGCACATGTATACACAATTTATCAGATTACTGATATTTTCAGAGGCCTGAAATATGACATGGTTAGATACAGGGTATAAGTAGTCAGAGGGAAAAAGGACAGTAAGTCCTTACACAAGGTTTAGAAAGGCTAAATCTGATTTTAGATCCTTTGTTGGACAGTGGTTTTTCTTTCTTTTTTGCTTTGTAAAAATGTTTCTAAATTCATTTGCTCAGTTTTGTTTCTTAAGCATTAGAACAACTAACAATTCTTTTTATTGTAAGCATATCATCTATACTCTACTGGTTCAAGAATAAAATTAAAACAATATTTCTTCTGTAAAGCAAATATATTTATTATGCACTTTCATATACACAGGGATTTTGCATAATATAATACAAGGAATAAAATAAAACTTTTACAATGTGAAATTCAATGTACATTTTAGGCTATTTACATACCCCAAACCAAGGGAAAAAGAAAAAGAAAAGCATTTGTCTGCAACTACATTTGCTGAAAGTGTAAATGGGAGGACATTAAGCAAAACAAACATTTGCATAGCCAAAACAATATGAAGAAAAATATTTACTCTAAGTTTTAAGTAGTGAACTATTTTTGGTAAGCACTCTGGTAGGGGTGGGAGTGGGGCTGAGGATCAAAAGTTATTGGCTGCATTCTGCAATGCACGCTGATTTCTGGTCAGTTTTCCTCCCCAAACCTTTCCTACCAATATCCAGATTTTTATTTTTCATTCTGTATTTTTGTAACTTCCCTTATTAGCAAATCATGACTTCAAGGGAATGGGGATGATGGAATGTTATAAAAATGTTGTAAGCGCATGGCATCCTAAGTTGTGTAGTGGCAACAGCTGATTTACAAAATTTAAATATTTCAATTTCAAAAATAGCTATTTAGGAGTTTCGTATGAAGCAGAAGCCATTTTTTAAGTCATGGTAGTAAATCCCCCACAGAAACAAATAAGCAAAGCAGGGCATTTCCAGCACCCTTATCATTATCCTAACTGAAAGTCACTTTTGTTCTGTTCTAAAACATAATTTATATAAAAACACGCAGAGAAATAGTTATGAAAATCATATTTTTCCAACAGGCTCTCTTCCTACCAACTGTTCCAAGTGTATAAAGAAGGGATATGAAAACATTTAGTTCTTTGAACACATAAATCCCTAATGCAATGAGCCATATCTTTGCCCTTTGGTCACAAGGTGCAATTTTGTCAAAACAATAAAATTAAATAAATACAATTTCAATAATTCAAGGTTAATAGAAAACTGGCAGCTTTCAGGGTTCTCTAAGAAAAAAATACACCTAATAAGAAATTAGCGCTTCATCCTCTACAGTAATGTAAATGTACTGTATCTGAGATGTGAGTAAAGTTGGCTCTAATAATAGTATGTGTTCATATTTAGTAATAGAATCATCAACACTTTTAAGGCTACTTTGCAAGAGTCCTATTAAGTGTATTTAATAAATATCCCATAGGGACAAGAGTTCAATACTTGAAACATTCACATTCGAGCTATCAATATTGCCATGTCACCTTAATTTTGATTGAACTGATCAACTTTTCATCTTTGTCCTGATTATGACTTACAGATGACATAGACAAAATGAGTTTTGCTGACTTTAAAAAATAAAAGCAAGAAAACCCTTACACATAGGTTCAAGTGAGAAACATTTATCATAACCAATTACACATTTCTATGTCTACGAACAAAGCATTACATATGTGTCCTTCATGTTTGATGACATTACTGACCTCTGTTACTAAGACATATTTAAAGGATTCTTTTCAGTAGTAGCAATGGTTTTGTGCTGAATCTCCAAATTCTCTTTCCTCATTCCTCCTTATCAACAGCACATGGAAACAACAGAATTTCTCGGGTCTGTAAGAGGACCAGGGCTCATCCACAAACCAAATCCAAACTTCGGCTTCTAAATCATTGTCAGCCTTTCCAAACATATATATGACCCATCTAAGCTGGCTTCACTGGTTTAGAATACATTCAGGACGCCAGGGCTGTGAGTCCTTCATTTAAACCAAGTGTAATTTCCTAGGTTACTGATTCTTCTCTTACCTCAGCATTCAGCCACCCTCCATGCAACTGTTCAAAGAAGAAAACAGGAAAGAGTATGTGGATAGAAAGGGGTGAATCCCTCACTTTTGTCAAAAAAGTTAAAAATACATATGTGCTACGGCTAATGCATTAGTGGCGTCATCTGTGAAGGACAGCACATATTACATTCATCAAGAATATTCATCCAACTGAACCATTAAATTTAACCAACTGATTTTCAGTGGGGCTGTTTTGGTCATGCAGTGATTTACAAGTACAAACAGCTGAGAGAGAAGCCAGCATTACTGTTTACAATGATGAATTACAGTTAGCTGTGAGGAAGAGATAAGGGTAGTCAATGAATAGTTCAGGGATCAAAACTCTACCCTTGGATAGACAGGTGCATCTCCCTCTGCACACACATGCGACTGAGGCATGGCTTTGTCCCTGAGAATATTCATGCCTCAGGAATGATAGTCTGTCTTCTTGGAGGTGGAATGACAAGTGAGTGGAAGGTGAAATTGCATCCCAGCCAATGAAATGGAACTCTGTTCTGCCTACAGTCGGGTTGTTTGCTTGTTTCGACACTTTTAGCCAGAGATGAGGAGTATTCTATTGAGAAAATCCAGATTTAAACTACTTAAAGCAGCTCCCTAATACTAGAAATTATTTTTTTGAAATCTGTCAAGAAACCATTTTTTTTACCGCAATGTGGCATTTACATAGAAACTTTTATCCAATGCTGAAGGTGTAGTGAACATAAAACCATTGCAAGATTTATTTTATTGAGCAACATTTTTAAAGATACAAGAAACAGGCCACACACTACAATGCAAATGTGACTGAAACATTATGCATTAAGTTTCTTCTGCCACAAAAAGAAAAAAAATAAATACAAGGAACACTGCCTTTTCACATACACTTGACCATGGCACATGCACATTTATCAAATCTTAACTTAAAATACTTTACTCAAAATTTTTTCAGCTTTATCGGGGAACTGCAGTATACACCTGCATTTTTTTTCTAAAAGTGCTTATCCGTGTTGTGAATACAAAGCACACAAAAAAACTTTTTAAGCACAGAGGATTACATTGAGAAGGCAGCCTTACTCTTTAGGCACATTACAGTAATTAAGGTAACTGTACTGCAGATATTACATTCTTCACTTTTATTTCATCAAATCAATAGGCATTTTATGTTTTCATCCAGTAGTTGAAGAACCACTTCAATCACAATGTCTTCTGTTTCACAGAACAGGAAACTGATTCAAAAGTTAAAAAAAAACAATTAATTTTTACATTTTACTATGTAACTATAATTTTAAGACCTTATAGAATATGTATATCCATTCATCTATGTATATGTTTATCACACAAAGCCCAAATTTAATAAACTTGTCTATTAGAGATTCATTATTTAACAATAAGTCACTTTTAAAGATTCTACAAAATACTAACCAACCTTAATTTACATGTTTTGTCTTTACACTATATATACTAAGAGTAGGAGGGGTGTAGCATCAGGGTTAAATTTTTAAAAAATAAGTGGTAGGGGAGAAGTAATTAGCTATTTCATACAAATTATTTTTAAATGACATTTTACTGCCCATCCATGAATTCACATCGAAGGCTGCTTATAACTGGAAAATAGGGAGAATTTGTTTATAGTGATGTTTCACTTATCACACCCCTAAAGCACAGCCCCAAAAACAACCAAAAAAGAGAGATGTCAGTTTGCTTAAGAGCACAATTTTGTTAAAGGAAGATGACTGAGCAAACTACGATATACTCCTGGTATAAATGAGAAAAGATTCTTAAAAAGTTCTCAGATTTATCTCCAATATGGGAACTGTGCTCCTTAAAAAGTATCCATCACATAAAAATAGGTACTTATCTATTTTCTCACTACCTTTACCTATTAATTAGTGAACTATCCTTTGTGGTGGGGAGAATTTTTATTTAGTAAAAATTATTTTGTCTGAATATAATGGACTCCAAATACCCACCTTGCCAAAACACTCATTTACCATCTTTCAGACCAGTTCTGGGGACAGTATGTGAAAACACAACTTGAAAGATTTCTAAAAGATCTGCCATAATAAAGCTAACTTTTACTGATAAATACCAATAAAGTTAACATTTATCAATCATCTACATGTACTATTTTTTCAAACCAAAAATACATTACAGAAAAAGCCACACCCTCTATCACCATCAAAGAGTTATTAAGAGGGGGAAAAATTCTAAATCTGGAATCCATAAATAATATATAAATTCATTTATTAATGCATTTCTCCAGCATATTTTGCCTGAGAAATTACCATATTAATACACTATTCCAAGTATATCGAATATAGCATTGAACAAAACAAAAATTCCTACTTGCACAAGCTTACACTACATACAGTCAGGGAGACAAACAGATAAACAAAAGTATGTTAAATAGTGCTTTAGATAGCACGAAGAGGGAAGGAGGAAAAGGAGTGCTAGAGGTGGGAGAATTCAAATTTAAAAGGGTGATAAGGTAAGGAAGGTCTAGCTGGGAGATGAGCTAGACATTAGGTGAGGGAATCAGCCAGGTAGTACCCCAAGGTCAGGGAACTATACTTTTGATAGGTTATTCTGCATGTTGGTGAAATATTACCTTTTATAGGGGGGTTTCCTTCTTATAGTTGAAGCTTGGGTCAGAACCCTCAATCTGCAGCTTCAGGGCTTGCTTAAGGTTTAAGTCTGTCTCTGAGGAAGGGTACTCCTCCAACACTTCCTGAGGCCCTCTGTCCTGTACTGTCCGTTGAACTGAAACCCTACCAAGAAAAACCTGGCTGCTCTGAAGATGGTAGTTTGGATTTGTCATTATGCCATTTCTCTTCTTCTGTTCCCCACTTTGTTGGTGAATGAGAAATTGCTGCTGAGATCGGCCGATTTCCTGCTGAGTTGAAGGTATGATTTTGCACTGAGAGTCTGCTGGCACTTGTTGAGGGGGTACACTAGTCCCAGATTTGGCAACAGGTCCTCTTTTGTCAAACTGAGTCATCTCATACTCTAAAACCTTTGGCTGTGAGGAATTACTTTGTTTACCTTTTTTCCCAGCTGATCCAGATTTACCAGAACTTTCTGATTTTCCCCCTTTATTTGCTTTAGTTGACTTCAAACTGGGCTTCACTTGACTCCACTCAAATTCACTACTCGGTGAGTTATGACTTTGTCCTAAGGACTGTGTTGTGGAAGATGGGGAAACAATTGACTGTCGACTTCTACTGCGTGGCAACGAGTGCTGTTGAATTTGTTCTGTAAATGACAAGTTATGAAAGCTATCAATTGGCACTGTTTGAGCTGTCGCTGTAGATGAAGTAGTTCTCAAAGATGAATTTTTTGAGCTTTTCAGGGAATTATTTGACAATGATGACTTCTGCCGATCAACGGTAGAATCTGGAGATTCTGATGGAGAACTGAATGCATGAGCTGGTCCATTAGGTAAGCCACGTAGTGAAGGCTGCATATCCCCTCCGCCAGTACTGCCAGAGCTATTTGACTTAATTGTCAATGACTGCATTTTTGATGACACTGATTGTAGAGGTTTTTGCTCCATTGTGTGAACAGGTGAGGGAGAACAGCCATTCAAACTAGATGCACCATATTTTTCTAGTAACTTAATTATTTGAGAATGTCCATTTTTGGCTGCAACACGCATAGCAGTGCGTCCAAATTGATCAGCATGGTTTGGGTCTGCACCACGCTCTAGTAACACCTGCACAACATCAATGTGTCCCTCCTGGGCTGCGATACAGAGTGCAGTTGCACCTTGATTACATGTATGGTCAACTACTGCACCATGCTCAATCAGAAGCTGAACCACTTTCATGTGGCCCTGCCAGGCTGCAGACTGCAAAGCAGAGCGCTTTTCATTGTCTGCAGCGTTGACGTCAGCATGGTAGGCTATCAACACCTGTACCATTTCCATATGGCCTTGCCAGCAGGAAACATGAAGTGCTGTCCTTCCTTCAGCATCGCTTGCTTCTACATTTGCACCATTTTCTAAAAAATATTCAGCCATTGTAAGTTGGTTTTCTAAAGCCAAGATATAAAGTGTGGGCCTCCCATCAGCATCTTTATAATTAACATCAGCTCCATGGGTAAAAAGCAATTCAACAATGTCTCTGTGTCCTTCTAATGCAGCAACCCGCAGTGCATTTCTTCCATCATAACCTCTTTGATCAATGTTGGATTTATTTTCTAATAATATCTGAACACAATCATAATGACCCTCTTGTGAAGCTAAGATGAAAGGGATTCGTCCATCATTGTCAATCTCATTTGTTCTAGCACCTTGTTCAATAAGCGCTTCACATATTAACCTGTGGCCTTCAAAAGCTGCCATGTGCAAAGGTGTCCATCCAGCATCATCTCGGTGATTTTCATCTAACCCTCTGTCCAGGAGAGTGCGTACCACCTCGACATTTCCTTGTGCTGAAGCTATGCTGAGGACTGTCCTACCTTCACTATCAATACTATCCACAGCTGCACCCCAAAACAAAAGTGTGTTTACCACTGAAGCATGACCCATAGATGCTGCTGCTAACAGGGGTGTTCGACCATTGTTATCTGTGTGATCTACATCTGCTCCTCCCTCTAGAAGCAAGTCAACCACATCGACATGTCCTTCATAGGCAGCTACCAGCAATGGAGTCATGCCATCTTTATCACAATGATCTACTTCTGCACCTCGATCGATTAGGAGGCTAACAACTGATGCGTGCCCTTTACTTGCAGGCACACAAAGTGCAGCTACAGATAGTGCAGTCCTGCCATCAACATCCTCATGATTTACTTCTGCTCCGTGGTCCAGCAGGTGTTCCACAATCTCTCTATGTCCCATGTATGCTGCTGCTATCAAAGCAGTTCTACCTTCATTATCAGCTTTGTTAACTTCAGCACCGTGCTGCAACAAATTCAGTACAATGTCCTCATGGCCACCCCATGCTGCTGCTCTCAAAGCTGTTCGACTATCAGCATCTGCACAATCCACTTTTACGCCAGCATAAAGTAGCGCTGAAACGACCTCAGTATGGCCTCCCCAGGCAGCAGATCGTAATGCTGTCCAACCATCTTGATCAGTATGATTAATATTTGCTCCACACCCAATCAAACAATTAACCACCTTGGTATGACCTTGTCTAGCAGCTAGGGTGAGTGGTGTATGTCCATGAGCATCTTCTATTTCTAAATCTGCTCCCCTAGAGACAAGTAAATTCACTACATCAAGATTGCCACTGTATGCAGCATTAGCCAATAATGTTCTTCCATTTGAATCACACTGATTTACTGAAGCTCCATTATCTAATAATGTCCGAATGGAATCCTCTCTCTCTAAGGCTTGTCGAACAATGCATGAAGTGCGATCATCTTCACTGTTGACGTGAGCACCAGCTTTAACCAACAGCTGTAGTACTTCTTGTTCCTTGGGAATTAAAGTAGACAGAGAGTCTCTGACAGGTGCACCATTCCATATCATCCACAGAGCTAGCTCAGCTGTCTCTAATTGTAAGTTTGAATTAATTAAGTGCAAAGCAAATTCTTGTGCTTCCAATGGTGTTAAATTCTTTGCTTGACAGGTATAACTCATAGCCAACATTCTGTGTCCTTCTGCTGCATTACATAAATACTTCTGAGTGCAGTGTTTCACATCTAGAAGCCACTCTGCAAAACTATAGTGAAACAGTATTTTAGTATTTCCTAGTCCATCAACAAGAAGTTTAGAGAGGACATCTAACTTTCGTTGAAAGTCTTCCAAGGTTAATGACATATTTTTGGTCCATACTGCATGATATAATTCCGTTATGGTCAAAGGTCGGCAGGCTGCAAGTATCACATTCAAAATAGGCTGAACTTTTGCAAACTGTTTTCTTACAAAAAGTCTTTGGCAAAGCCAGAGATAGAGACCATTTAGAGTTCCCGGGATGTCACGAATCTCTCTTAACATAATAAAATTTTCTACAACTCCATCTAAAACTCGTTCTAGATAAAGAAAGCACCCGCTGCTTTTAATGTGCAGTTGATTTAACATCTCTGCAGTTTCTTTAGTAAGGTGTTGTCGCAAGGCCTCTTCTTGATCTAAACGATGAAGAATGTACTGTTGGACATCCTTGACAATGTATGCCTTCCGAAGGTCATCTAAACTTATTTTTCGAAAACCTGAAGAAACAAAACAGCAGATCCATTACAGAAGCTGCCAAATCTTCAAAGAAAATGTCTTTAACATATAATAAACCAATAAAAAACAATTAATAAAATATACAGATGGCAGAGAAATAATTTCATTTTTGTATCAACAAATGGAAATACTTATTCTCAGTGGTTTGTTGCCTTTCTCAACTTCAGCGTAAGACACTAACAGCATTAGATAGTTTTACATATCTCTAAACGTATCTTAAGATTTTCTGAACTCCTAAATGATTAGAAAAAAGTTGCAAAAGACATAACAAGTAAAGTTTGTTTACAAGATGATCTTTTTCATACAAATAACTGATATACTTCCACCCATACAATGTACTTGAATATGTGCTAGCCATAATTATGGAAGGGATTATTTATATTTAATTAAGAATATCACCTATCATTACTTTTAAATTGCTTTATTTTATATGTTATCAAATTTAAATAATTAAGTCTCAGCCTGTCAATAAATAGCTTGAACCAATTAAGATGTAACTTGGTTAAATTCAGCTTACAAAACTTTAGCATTGTAAAAACTGAGCCATTTAAAAGCATTCAAATCAACCTAGAAATATACTAGTTACAGTTATTTGAAAATCTATTTCGTCTTCAGGAAGGAGTTGTATCATGACCTACAGACACAAATTTATTACATAATTGTGTATTTATCTTACAGAGGAAAAAAAAACTTGCTAAGTGAATGAACTGATCAAGGTATTACCATGACAAGATTTGCATTATGAAAGACCATTCTAACATCCCTAATCAACTGGAGTGAGTCAAAACTAAAAGTAAAATCTTTTCAAAAATGCTGGGATAAATTTTACATGAGAATCATGAAGGTTCTGACAACCATGGCAGGAGGAGCAAATATAAAGATAAATTATAGGCTTGGGAATTATTAATAAGAGCTACATTATGTAGTGCCTGGTGAACACGGAGAAGGGAAGAGTGAAGGAATTGCTGAAGTTGACATCAACATCTGGCTTTGTTAAAAGGATTAAAAAAAAAAGATACCTCTGAAGGATAAGCAATAGGTTTGGGGAGAAAACTAATAAATTCAAATTTGTGATACTTACCTTGAAAAACTGAAACAAAGCAGACAAATATATTGAAAAACACAACCAATGCAAATGAAACATGAAGAAACAACAAATTTGTATTGTCCTAAATCTATATCAAAAAGGAATCTCTTTATATACACATATAACTGATAATTAAATGCTCAACATATAAATCATTTCAAAATAGAAATTTCATTATGAAGACAATCCTGACATAAGAAGAGTTTTTGAAACATTCTGAGAAATTTATAACAATCCAAATTTACCAATGACATGAGATGACCTCTCTTTAAACCTTTTTCTGTGTGTCCATTTGTGTTTGACTTTACAAATTCATTAAAACAATTTAAGATAAAAAATGGAAATACCTGGCTGTTGCTAATAAAAAAGTTATTTAAAACAACAGTATCTTCTATTACACAGTTTTACAGTTTTCAAAGTGCTGTGCAAACGGACTGATTTACATAAAAGATCATATAGCCCACTATGAATAAATATAATTTAAACTAATTGAGGCCTCATGATTAAAACTTGAAATAATTAAAACACACACTAGGCTAACCCTGTAAACCTCCACAGTAACAGGTTTGGTTTCTCAGAAAGGAATAAAAAAGACCAACATTCACTGAGTCAAGTATTTTAGGACAGCACTTTAAGTGCGTATCACACATAACCTTTTATGACAAGCTTGAGATACAAGTAACCTATTATAAAAAAGAAAGCCAAAGCACAGGAATGTTAAATAAATTGCCTAAAGTAAGTAATAATTAGTGGAACTAGGAATCTGATTGTTTTGTTTGACTTTGAAGTTCGCTCTTTTCGTAAGAATGGGAACAAAGTTGTGGTAGAAAATGCAAATGTTTGAGAGAAGGAATAGGGACACAGATTTCTATAAAAAAGACAATTTCATAAAAGATTGACATGAAATATTTGCAACTTAAAAAATAAATCTCCCTCAACTCAAATTACTCCATAATATAGATATTAACAGAAATTATATTCATCATTAATAATAGGTATTTGTTCATTAAAACAGAAGGAAGAGGCCAAGGGTGTAGCTCAGTAGTTAATGGCTTGCCCATCATGTGAGAAGCCCCAAAGTAGAGTTTCAGCACTTCCAGAAAATATGAAACAAAAAACTATAGCTAAGAATATCTATTTATCACCAATTTAAAAACCTTGAGTTAAAGGTACTAAAAATATATTGATACAAAGCACTTAAAAATTGTAAGATGAGGCTGAAAAATGATCCAAATTCTTAGAATAAAAATACAATTTACTAAAATGTTGAACCACTTCACTATTGAACCATTTCTCTTCTTACTTAAAACATTTCTTAGGTTCTAAAATCACTTGGTGCTAGTCAAAGCAGAATGGCAGGACCTGTGCCAGTGCTTATATACTGATGCTCACTGCAATTACTTATTATCTTGAAGAACCTACTGAGAAAACATATGGTTCAATAAATTATTGACGTTAGAGCTTCATTTTATACCATTTAGTAGAAAATATTTTATATGAATAAAATAATACAATATAAAATATGGGATAGTAAAGGACATTATATTAGATTACATATAATGGATTGGACAATAATTACAATTTTAAAAAACTGAACAAAATAGTTGCCAAGAATGAAAGTGAAATAAAAGCCCTACTGACAATAAAAAAGAAAAACCTGAACTTACTGATAGAAACATACATAAAAGTCAGAAAAAAAAAAAAAATCACAGGAAAAAAGAGACAAATTGATAAAATTAAGCATGGGGAGAAAGAATTAAATCATAAACAGAAAGTACAAGACGAGAGCATTTTCACATCTCAAATTAACAAACCCTTAAAAAACATAATTCGAAACTGATGGAAATACAAAATACCAATATTTTCAGACAGGAATATAATTTGATACATATCTTTTTGGAAACCAGCTGATAATATATATTAACGACTTTAGTCATAGTCTTAAAATTTTTACCCCCAAACTAAAAATTTACTATCAGTGGGAAAGTAATCAAATGTTTATATAAAACCCACTGCTTTTAATAATTAATATCTCAGAAGGGAAAGTGAGCAAAGAGAATCTGACCATAATCTAGTTCTGATTCCTAATTTACTGCCCTTTTCCAATAAAATACAGTTGAAAGGAAATAGAAATTCATGTAATTGCAAATCATTGAATGCCAGTTTTGTTCCAAGCTCTGTCCTAGATGCTGAGGAGATAATAGCAGCGGGCAAGAGAGGAAAACCTCTTATTCTCAAGGAGACGATGTCATAAGTAAACAAACAGAAAATACAAACAATTTTAAACAATTATAAGATACACACAGATGATTCAGATAAAGAGAGGGACTATGTGACTGACTAGATAGGGAGCCAGAAATAGAGCCAGAATAGAAAACACAGAAGCCTGTGTGAAACATTTGAGCAGTATCCTAAATGAGAAGTTAGAAGTTCAAAGGAAAGAACCTTTTAGCCAAAACATAAAATGTAAGACCCTAAAGCAGATAAAAACAGATCTGAAAGTAAAAGTTGATTGATAAGAATGAAGATAAAGAGAAATCATGTTTTTAGTAGGAATATAAATGATTTAAAGCATAACAACTAGTAATCTGCCAAAGTTAACTGAAGTTCAAATTGTATATACCCTATAACCCAGCAATTTCAAAGTTGTCATGTTTTGGATTTGAAATGTCCTCTAAAATTCATGTGCTAAATTCCTGGCTGGCGAGGATGGGCTTTGTGGGAAGTTACTGGATCCTGAGTGCTCCACCTTCTTCAATGGACTGGCTCACTTATGAGACCACAATCTGAAGGCATCTTTGGGAGGTGACTGAAACAGGAGGTGGGGCCTGTTTGAAAGGAATGGATCACGGTGGTGGTGTGACCTTAGGGATTCTATCTCATCCTAGCCCTTTCCTTTCCGGCTCTCTCGCTGTCTCTCTGCATTCTGGCTGCTACCCTCTGCCTCTACTATACCTTTCTGCCAGACTGTTCTGACTCACTTCAGCCCTAAAGCAATGGAGCCAGTTGACCATGGACTGAAACCTCTTAAACCATGGGTCACAAAAACCTTTCCTCCTTCATTCAAGGAGTTTCTTGAAAAGCTGAATAAACCCAAATCTAGATTTGTAACACAAACTTTTAGCACCTGAGTACAAGGTGTGACAAGCATATACATGAAGCACTTTTTGGTAATACAGGTTGAATATTCCCTAGCCAAAAACACCTAGGACCTGAAATATTTTAGTTTTTTTCAGACTCTATATCTATAACTATCTATCTATCTATCTATCTATCTATCTATCTATCTATCTATCCATCTATCTATCTAGAGAGGTCTTGGGGAATGAGACCCGTATCTAAATCTAAATCCACTTATATCTCATACACCCCTTATACCTACAATGTAAAGGTAATTTTATATACTACTTTAATTATTTCTTGCATGAAACTAAGTTCCTCAAAATGGAATTTTCCACTTGTGGCATTGTGACCACACAAGTTTTAGATTTTGGTGCATTTCCAATTTTGAATTTTCAGATAAAGGTTGCTCAAGCTGTAGTAAAAAACTGAAAATAATCTAAATGCCATGAATGAGAATAGTAGAAATATAAATAGGAGACTTATTCAGAGAGGAATATTATCTACATTTAAAATCAATAACCTTAATTTAAAAGCAGTAATAGGAATAGGACTCAACATTTATTTTTGCTAAAAAATGACAATAGCAACATTTATGAAGCACTTATTAAATATTAGTCCTACATGAGGTATTGTTCTAAGTACTTCACATTTAATTTGTCATTTAACCTTAAAATTATTTCCCATTTTATAGATAAGGAAATAGAGACACACAAAATGGTAAGTAATTTGCATAAGATCACGGAGCTAATGAATGGTAAGAATTAAAATGGTACTTTCACTACTTCATTTGGATTGACTATGAAAATACATAGTATATAAGTCATTTTAATCCCCAAATTTTACCAACTACATTTTTAACAATAACAAAAAAGAATACTATACGTGGAAAATGAGAGCACTGCTGTTAGCAGCAAGAGAATCTAAGAGAGATGACCAGATAGAGGGAATAAAGCCAGTTATAAAAAAAAAAATCACTTTAACAAACTAATAAAAGGTTTTGCCATACTGTAAAAAGCACAGAACTACTTAAAACTGATTAAGTTGTCTTATGTATGTGTACAAATACCCCACAATAAATGTAATCACAAACATGTACTAAGAAAATATTCATAATAAAAACTAATATAGCTAAATAATCAACTCAATTAACATCTCTTCAATTACACTATAACTCTTGTGAAAGGTCCTTGTTTTACATTCTTTTTATTAACCACAGAGCACAGAAGAGTGCTTCATATGGTCTAAAAGGAGTAACCACAACTTTATTATCGTTAGAAAAAAGAAAACTAAAAGGGTAAAGTAAGGATGAAAGAACTATAAACTATTCAGATACTTTTATACATTATATATACTTTTCTCTCACTGATGAGAAAAGGGCTGAAACATGAAAATATTTCAAGAGGTATAATAAAGGACTGATAGCTCTCTACTCTTTCACAAAGAAAAATACCCAGAGTAACTGCCATTGATGTTTGTTTTTTAAAGGCCAGAGGCATATTTACTACTCCTAAGATGCTATCCTAAACTGTCATGAATAACAGCATGGCAAAGGCAGCCCCACAGATACACAGAAGCAAAGATGGCATTCAACATTGCTATTCTTTACCAAGGTAGTCATCAGGAAAAGAACTTGGAAAAAAGGTAATTTTTACCTGATTTTAAAACATGCTATGGATTGCTTTCAATATAATTTTAAAAGGCATAGTACAGAAGAGCTGATAGAAGTGAATGAAACATCCAGATTTTCAACTGCATACTTTGCTCTAAGAAAGAAACATGCATTAAAGTAGTAGTTCATTTGGAGGGCAGTAAGGAATTATGCTTACCAGTAAACATCTTAGTAACAGCCTTACTCTGTTTCCTGGCAGAACAGAGAAGCAAAAGCCACGGTGGAAAGAACTCATGGTTACCAGCTAAGAGCTCTGCCACAGTCCCCGAGAAGCTGGTTGATGTCTGTTCACCCTCAGTAATGGTACACCCTTCATCGACAGAGTCCACGAGCAGGTACAGACTCTGCTGTGGAGGCTTCATTCCCAAGAGCGGGAGCAGAACACACCTGCAAAAGACATCACAGAGCAGTGTGAATGTGGCTGGCTACAAACATCAGTATTACTAATTACGAATGTTTTGAAAATAAAATAAAGGCCAGGTGTTGGGATGCATGTCCATGATTCCATCACTCTGGGAGGCTGAGGCAAGAAAATCACAAGTTCAAGTCCAGCCTGGGCAACTCAGCAACTTAAAGAGACCTTATTTCAAAAATACAAAAAAGGGCTGAGATGCAGCTCAGGGAAGGCCCTCAGTTCAATCCCCAGTATGGCAATCAATCAATAAACTTCTAGAACAAAAATGTTATTTTGTCTCAATTCTTCAAGAAGAATACTGGTTCTCAATAATTCACATTTCCAATAACATCACTGTCCAAAATATAGCGATTGAGTGTGTGTGTTTATGTGTGTATGTGTTGGTAAGTATAATAGAGAAAAATAGTAGCAGAAACTAGACAAAACTAGATTTCAATATTCCCTTTATCTTTTTTGAGTCAGTGATAAAAGGCTTGAATTTTCTATTTGTTGCAGAGGTTAATAAAAACTTTGAACACCACTTTATAAGAAAATAAGAATTGTATAGAATTTAGAAAGGTTTTATTGTCTCTCACAAGATTACAGCACTGCATAAAGCTTATCACACACAATGTTTACTTTAAAAACCTGTACAAAGATAACTATATTCTAGGTCCCATTTCATGTATTTCCAAATTTCAAAGTAAAGAAAAAAATTATCAGGCATTATTCCATTGAATAATGTATTTCCTATTCAGGTGATGGAGAGAGGCTAAATAGAACTTTTCTGTAAATAAAACAGTGCTCATTCACTTTCAAAAACATTTACTTGATGTATGTCATGTGCTCAATAAAGTGCTGAGCAGGTAAGATGGTGAAGAAGACATAATCTATCCAGTAACGAGCAACAGAAATTTATGAATATCTTCTACAACTCTCTTCTTAATCATTCAATACCCTAAACACCAAAATTCAACTAACTACTATGCAACAATCAACGTTTCTGAACTCTCAAATCCACTTCTGTCTGGAACAGCACAACTCTAACCCAAATGCCCATCACTCCTTTCACCTGTGCTGCCCCAACCACCCACGCCTCCAACCAACTCCCCAGACTTCCTTCTGCAGCCAGTGAGCTTTCAAATGCTGCTCCAACCACACTAGGCTTCTTTCAATGACCTTTGTCAGATACCAGCAAGTACACAAGGCCTTTTCATTTGCAGTTTCCCCTGTCTGGTATACATTTCCTTTCTTTCTGCATGGACAATAACTCCTCCTTTATCTACAATTTTAACTTTAAAAGTCACTTTAAGGTCAAATTTTATTATCTGGATTCATAGCATCAATAAATTCTCTTTCACTACACTATCAGTTCTGCAATTTGGTATTTCATGTCCATCAATTTTTTTCTCTTTATACCTTAAGCATCAAGAGAATAGAGAATAGAAACTAAATTGCTTTTGCACACCAATGTACTCCCAGAACTTAGCATGATTCTCACAGTAGATTAATGATGACACTGTTGCCATCTAGAATGAAAGAGGAGTATCTTCAACGCAGTATGCTCCCTGTTATCATAAAAAGTAGTAAAATTACTAACACAGTAAATAAGAAATGATCAACATCAAAGATATGGAGGTAGGAAAAGCAGAGAATATTAGAGAGCTACTCAAGTAGTAGATACTCAGGTGAACTAAGTTTTGAAGAACCAATTATAACTCCCTAGGTTGAGAAAGGAAAGGCAGGACAATCCTAACAGCAGAACAGGGTAAATTTAGGAAAACCTACTTTATTGTACCTTTCCTATGTATTTTGTCTTTTATGAACCCAAAGAAAGGTGATGAAAAACCAATAATAAAGGAAGAACATCCCTAATCTAAAAACTCTGAATTCCAAAGTGCTTCAAAATCCGAAATTTTTTGAGTACTTCAAACAGTAAACTCTATGCAAATACACTAACATCCAAATAGAGATGTGGAATACTTCTGTTCTTAGCATTTTTGATAAGGGATACTTGGCCTATACAGCCATACAATACAGTTCATGTAGTATATAATACAACATAAGAATACGGCTAATCAGTGCCACTTCACAGATAACACAGAGTTGTGGGAGCACACAGGAAGCAACCTAAAGCAATTTTGGTAGGGAAGGTGTAAGGAGAGGTCAGAGAAGATGGGAACTGAGGTTGAAGTCAAAAGAGCTAGGGGTAGAGAAGGACACACAATAAAAATGCACAAATTCATTTGAAGCTTGAAGAATAGAAAGACCAGTGAACAAAGTATGAGAGAAAAGAATTATGAAAATGAATAAAGGTTGTGGTTTGTAAGCTTTTATCATGAAGTTTGTACTTTTCCCTAAAAATACTAAGGAGCTACTACTTGTGTAGTTAGGTTCCAGCACTTAAAACTTTTCTTAGTGCCTCATAAACACTCAATAAATTTGCTTTATCAATGAATGGTACTGAATTGAAAAGTTGTCACCTTTAAAGCATTACATAGAACATTCATTAAACTCAGAATTCCTATATTCAGTTCTCTCTCAATTATTTCCAAGTCACCTACTTGGGAACATATACATCAACAGGTACAAAGATCCACATTTCTGTCAAGTTGCATTTCATCATTTGTAAAAAGAAAAATCTCTCCAAAGTATATATAAACAAAGCATGAGTAGTTTAGTCTAAAATAAATTTTTCCATGTTTGTGGATATATATATATATATATACACACATTTATTACAAAAAAGATAATGTGTTAGGCTAGCATTCTCATACACAGATAATCACTTTATTATTTATTTTTGTTTCTTTGCTTTTGAGACAAGGTGTCGCTATGTAGTCTAGGGTGGCCTTGAACTCACTATATATAGCACAGGCTGGGCTCAAATTCAAGAGTGACCCTCCTGCCTCAGCCTCTCAAGTGCTAGGATTACAGGCCTGTGCCACCATGCCAGGCTAATCACCATATTTAAAAGCAGCAGTATGCAAAAAGGTCTCACTTTCTTACACAGTACGTATCTTTTTTTTTCACAATATATGTCTTATTAAATATTTATATTTCTTAGCTTCATTATTAATATTCACCCAATCTGTCTTGTATTCTTAGTAATGTCATTGATTCAATTTAAAAATGCATAAATTAGATTTCCTCATTTTAATCTTTCTTGAATGGGAGTACTGGAAGAGCCATCACTGACTTTTTGATTTCCGGGCAGAAGGGCAGCTGAAAGACCATTAGGGCAATTCAGAAATGAAACACATCCATTGCTCTTTTTCCTTGATACAGTGAATTTATGTATGTCTTTTGTTTCTTTCTTTTAAGGAGACTAATTAGCTTTTAAAAAGCTGCTATCAATGAAGTATAAGGTATGTAGTATTAGATGACAGACACATAGATAACGTACAATAGTTCCCTCAGAGTTAGAATTATTAATGTTAAACATCAGGTTTCAGCTTGCTTGTTCAGGTATGGAGAATCAGTGTTCCTCTAGGCCATACAACAAAACAAACTGGACAAATGGCAAGTTCAAGACTTTTGCTACATCTATCAGAAAGCTGATGTCACAGGGCAACCAAGTAGCCACAAATCGAAGGGGACTAAGACAACTGCAGGCAGACACAGAGCACAAGCACAGCCATGCAGAGGAGGAGCAGCTAGACACCAGGTATGTAGGGAGGGGCTGGGGGAGTGGTCAGCTACAAGATTGGAGGAAGAGAATGTGGAGCTCCTGGGGCTGCTGACCAAAGGGAGAATTCACACCCTTTTGCACTTTTTTTCTGATCCTGCAGGGCTTTATATATTTTTATTTAATGCAACAATCCTGGCTGGGAAGAACATGGAATGAAAGCCTCCACCCAGATTATTTTCCAATATACATCCTATGGAAAAGCCTTGGTAGGATGTGAGGTGAACACTACTGCCCTTAGGGAATGAGTAAAAACCCACTGCAGCCTACATCTGGACTGGACAGGGCCACTGAGACGACCTCTTCCAAGATCCAAGGGCACAAGGTAAACTTCATCAAAAGACGCCTCTACCTTTCTTTATCCTTCCATCTAACTACTGAATGACTGCAAAAGGAAGAAATGTGCCAGGTATAAGGGGAGTAGATATTCAGTAAAGCATCTGGAAAATCAGCCCTACCCTAACCCAAGTACTGCTAGAGCAGTTGAAGCCAGAGGTGTAATGAGGGTAGCTACAGCAACTGTAAATCTTCAGTCTCCTAACTCCTGACTACATTAATGCACCCTCTTTCCCTTTCTCTCCACACCAAAGGCCAGAACAGGAAAAAACGAAAACAAAAACACGGACCTACTTTCCAGACACAAAAAATATTTCTGCCTCAACTGTTTCACATAAAACATCTAGCTTTCAACAAATAATTATAAAAGTCTATAATAATAAAAATTATTTTGCAAGAGTACAAAGTTGAAGGATAAATATAGGAGCTTGAATTTTTACAAAATTATAATGGTAATTCAGTTAAGAAAAATTTTCCCACAAATGATGACAGCTGGATATCCATATGAAAAAAAGCCACAATACATATCTTTCATCTTTTACACAAAATGGATCACAGATTTAAGTGTAAAAGTACAAAATTTCTAGAAGAAAATCTCTGTGATCCTGAGTTAGGGGAACAGTCTTAACCACAAAGCAAATAGAACTTGGAAACCGTGTTTTTATTAAAATTAATTTTTAGACACAATCATGAGAATGAATGGACAATCTGAAGACCGGCAGAATCTATTTTTTTTCTATTTTCAGAATCTATTTTTTTATAAAACAAATTTCTGACTAAAGAAATATCCAGAATATATTAAAAAAAAAACCCAAACAATAAGAAAACAATTCTTTTAAATGGGAACACTGGAACAGACACTTTAGAAGGCACAGTGGTATTAAACAAGCATGTTAAAATGTACTCATTAGTTATAAGAGAAAGTGAAATAGGATCACAGTGAGATACCACTGAACTGCTGAAAAACAT